TTTTTCAAGATTATTTTGCACATTCAGATGCATTTAAATGCATTGTAAATACTCTAAGGGTGTGTAGAGCATCCTCCAAGGTGTATGTTGGGGAAATCGACCAAGAGAAACCAGAGATATATTTGTGGCACAAAAAAGAATGTATTTAAAATATCCAAATATTTCAAAGGTCTAAAGAAAAAATCAAAAAGAAAGCCTAAAAATTGGAAAGTATTGAATAAGGTAAATTCAAAATATATGAGTTAGAAGACAGTGGAATCAACCCACAAAAGCCAATTCTCAAAAAATCTATATGTAACAGATAATTTTATATACTATCAATTATGAAAGAATCCATGTAATTAATATTAAATAACATTGTATAAAATGCAGATTGTAGGTGTTTGACATATTATTGGAAAACATTATAATTATGTTATCACATTACCTCATGATAAACAAATGACAAACAAGGAAAATTTTCTTCATATGGCAGAATTTCAGGTAATAAAATGAGAAAAATAAGAAAATTACATTTTTGCATCCCACAAAGGAGAATAGTTAGTGGTCATTAATGTCAGACTATCAAGACCACCAAACAGGATGATACCCAAATGCTATGTTTCACAAGTGTCCCAAAGGCTCATGTGTTAACGAGGAGCAGTGGACTCCATAGGAGGTGGAGCTTGGAGGAAGAAGTTAGGGTATTTGGAAGGGTGCCTTTGAAGTGGCTGTTGGGACCATGTTTCCCTTTTCTCTTCTCTTAATTCCAAGCTGCCTTGAGGTGACCAAATTTCCTTTACTGCATGAGTTTGCCTTAATCTCCTGCCTCACTACAGGCCAAAAGCAATAGGAAAAAGTGATCATGGACTGAAAGCTCTGAAACACTGAGCCAAAATAAAACATGCCTTCTTTTTAGTTGTTGATCTCAGGTATTTTGTCACAACAACAAAAAACTGACTACCACGAAAATGTTACAAGTCTCTTAATAAAGTATTGAAGTATCACCTCTGGAATGGTTTTGCTGAAGAATAAACATGTTCATAAGAAAATACTAATCTGATCAAATTTACTAGTAACTACTAATGATCTGTATGGAGAGTATGAAGTATGTGTGGTTTACTTTACTGTTGTTTACATTACTTTATGTCTGATAATGCCTATAAAATGGCTTTAGAATAAATACCATACCTACTTATTTGAATACCTAAGTGAATTGGAAGAATGTTAAACCAAATATAAATGACTAAATACCTTATTAGAATTAAAAACATTTAACTGCCAAATATAAACTGAAAACCTATCCCATAATAATGCTCTAAATATCTGTGGATCAATTTAATTTTGAGGTCAGTTAGACTCATGATTGGGCAAATCAACCCAGCATCTTAATTAAATTCATCCAAAGTAAATAAAAATATTTGCTATTACTTGAGTTAACAAGAAACTTCCTCTAATACATATACAAAAGAAGAGGCTTCAAAAAAAAAGGACCTAGGCCAAACCTGCTTCTTCAAAACTGGACTGTAAAATGTTATCAAGTGATGAGATTAGCCAAATAAGTTATATATATGAAAACTAAAAGAGACAGTACTCAGTGAAAATGTAATCATCTACATACACTGTCAGATATCCACCCCCCCAACAAGGAGAGTATCACAAAGTCATTACACTTGATATCTCCCTTACAGGAAGACTTTTTTTTTTAAAAAGAAATTCAATAAGAGGCTAAGTCTCGAAGGTGAAGAGAAGGAATAGATCACCATGTATTTTTTCTCATATTCCAAGACCTATTCCTATGCTTCTCTGGGGAAGAGAATCAAACCAAGCTCTGCAAAACTTGCAGATATAATTGAGTAAAAAGATGGGATCTGGAATGTGGAGAGGGCAATTTTAGGAAGCCCTGAGTCAAAAAGAATGTAGTAAAGATGAGGATCACTGTGAATGGTGACTGAGGAAACCACACTGCAAAATTGAAGGGGTTACACAGAGTTAGTAGCTCCTACTTTCAATCTGAAAATGTCACAGGTTCTCCTCAGTGTGTCTTCAGTTAGCCCAATATTCACTGATGACACTTCTCTGGAAAAGCACGGTTCAGGTTATGTATCTTGGAGGTGCAGAGCTACACAAGGAAGTATGTCAAGAAGGATGGGATGATCAGATCACTGGTTCAGACAGCATTCTTCCAAGGCAGTGCAGATCTCACTCTCTGACCGTGAAGGTCCACGAAGTTATTAAGGCTGGATATACAGAGAAAGTGAGGGTTAAGGAATCGCCATGTCTTTCTTCTCTTTCTCATTGCATCTCCATTCCTTCTGCTACTGACCTCAAAAATGTGTTCAGATTCTCTCAGTATTTTTATCTCCAAAGCTATTACTCTTCTAACTGCTGTTGGCTTTCAAAAACTGATAGATTAAAAAAATACTTTTTTGTGCTATACTAATTTGTGATGTAAGTATAGACAATTTCAGAGTAAACAACTTAAAATAAGTTTCTAATTCACCTAGAATTGGTCTCTGTGTTAAATGTGGGAGAGAGGTTCAGTCACAGTTTGTTTTAATAAGGCAATTGAATGATTCTTCTGCCATGTCTTAGTAAAAACACTATTACCCTGATTTTCTGCAGAGGCATATGGATAGCAAATAGGAAGCCATGTGTCTTAGGTCTGTTTTGAAACACTGTTCAATTTTTTTGGTCTAATTGCCTGTTTTTGTAATTTAATCACAATTTCTTATTTACTCTAATTTTTTAGTAATCCTGAATAGAAAATCTATCTTTTATTCTTATGGGGTTTTTTTCTGCTGGCAGCCACTTGCAAGTCGATTCAAATTTAAGAATCAGCTCGTAATGCCTCCTCACAGATATCTTTGAAAATTCACTGATGGAATCATAACTAAAATCATTTATAGATTCAATTTGGGGAGAATTAGCATGTTCATAGTTGTTTCCTCTATGTACAAACTAATTTGTTAAATATTCTGTAAATTCAATTTATATTAGTGATTTCGTTCTTCCAAAATTTCTTATAATTATGTACAATGTTTATTTTCCTCATAAGGTTCCTATTATAATAATTTATAAGGTATAACTTTCATTTTTTATTTGTATATTGCCTGTTAATGTACAAAATATAAAGTTTAGTTTAATATATCGAACTAATACATGATCTCACAACTTTTACTTTTTAAATTAATTTTATTGGTACATTTTAAGTATACAATATAATGACATTCATCATTGGAAATTTGCAACTTTACATAATCTCTCTTGGTTCTTATTTTTCCCCCTTTCCCTGCCCTCCCTTCAACCTCTCCATCCCTCCCTATTTACAAAGACTTTGTTTCCATTTTTCCATTTTCTCATATTAATTCCATTCCCTTCTTTCCTTTTCCCTACCCCTCCCGCTTCCCCTTCCCCTTTGCACCTTTCCTTCCTATTTCACATTATCTATTATACCTTTTAGTCCTTATTTACACTTTCAGTTTCTCACACTAGAGAAACTATTAGGTATTTACACGTGTGTCCTATTTATTTCACTTAAAAGTATGGCCTCAATGTGCAACCATTGAGCAATAAATGTCTCTAATTTCTCATTTTTATGGCTGAGTAGTACTCCATTTTATTAAAACACCATATTTCCTTTATCCAGTCTCCAGTTGATGAGTAATTGGATTGTTTCCAAGTTTTAGCTATCACGAATTGTGCTGTTATGAACATGGGTGCACATATATCACTGTGGTATGATTCTTTTAATTCTTTGGGGAAGATACCCAGGAGGGGAATAGCTGGGCAAAATGGGACTTCCAGTCCTAGTTCTTTGTAGTATCTCCATACTGATTTCCACAGTGGTTCCACCAGTCTATACTCCCACCAGCAGTGGAGCAGCGTTCCTCTTTCCCCATAGCCCTGGCACCATTTGTTATTGGATATGATAGGAGAAATTCTTTCTGGGGTGAGGTGGACTCTCAGCTTTGTTTTCATTTGCATCTCTTGAATGACCAGTGATGTTGAACGATTTTTCATATGTTTATTTGCTATTTGTACTTCTTTGACAAATGTCTGTTCATTTCAGATGCCCATTTTTGGATTGGGTTTTTCAATTTGGGAATAACCTCACAACTTTTAAAACTGCTCTTATCATATTAATAGTGCCCCTTTAGAGTTTGCACATTTCCAAGCTGTTCTTATTTAAAGTTAATAGGATTGTTTATTTTCTGATTTATATCTATACATCAGTTCCTTTTTTATTATCATGCTATGTAGTATCTTTTCAAAGTGTAGTCTATGATAAGAGCTTGCACCTTTATTTCTCGATCTTAATGTAAGAGATATCAAGATTTACACAAGATGTATTATTTTATTCCAGAGATTTTGTTGATATACTTAACCTAGTATGAGAAAATATCTTATCACAAGTAAGTGATTATAATCTTCATGAACACTGTTCTGTAATTTTATGAATTATTTTTATTACAATCTGTCATTGTGATATGACAGTCCCAGACCTATTTATCCTCTGATATACTGTTCACCCTTACTCTTCTCTTTCCATTACTATACAAATTCTGACTCATAGTTCTCTGATTCTCCATCTTTTGGGTGACCCATATTCCACACAACAAGAGGCACCAGTAGAAAATAAGTTCCTAGAGGAAAGGGATTGCCTAGAATTTTTCTCTTTCTCCATCAAGTGGCTTCTGCTTCAATTTCTATATCTTGGCTTGTCTCTAGCTCCTGTAAGATTAGACTATGATGTTCTGGGTCCACTTGACTCCAACTTCCATGCTTCCATAGCAATACTTCCTCATTTATCCCTCTAGATTAGATGAAGGAGAAACTTCATATATTTAACCAGTACTGCATGTGATCTTCATGAAGGGCAACTATGCCACTTAGGAGAGGGTCTGGGAAGCACTAAATGTGGTCAAGATCTGTTCCAGGAAGACAATTTCCTCTTTGTGGACTCCAGGGAGCTCATCACGAAAGACTTTGTGAAGGAAAAGTACCTGCAGTACTGGCAGGTGGCCAACAGTAGTCCTGTGCAATATGAATTCCTGTCAGGTCCAAGAGCCCATGCTGAAAACAGCAAGATGAACATGAAGTCTTTGACCAGGGTTCATGGAACTGATCTGACTGCTTTCCTATCTAAGTATACAGAGGCTGTGCTAGAAGGAGAAGTGTACTAGCCAGAATTTCATTCAGGGAGGCTTCCAGGTCCAGGCCCACTGCATGTTCCAGTGACATGGGCAGTGGTTTCTCCCACACATAGTCAAGTCAGAGGTAAGTTGTTCACTGATTGTTCCAAGAGAGTATTTAGTCTTTCCCAAGAGAATTTTGTGTTCAAACAATGCTGGTCTTGTAATGTGTCAGGAGGGAAATCAGAATATACAATCCCTGAGTTCCTGATCTTTATGTGTAACCATGAAAACTTATTTTTTACTTTTGATAGTTTTATTATTCAAATATTGCTTTATTTAAAAGAGGTTTAATAGGTTTCAATATTTTCAATATTCGAACGATGGTGTTCAGATGTTCAGACATGATGCCATTTATAATTTTAAGTAGTACAACCTTTGCTGTATTGTAAAACAAAATGTAATATCATCAATTTTATTTTATGTGTTGAGTAATGTATCTTGACATTTCTGAAGACATTTCTTTGCAAATATGAAATGACTCAGCCTTAATATACTTAGCATCAGTGGAGAGAAGTAGAAATTATCTAAAAGATACTTAGTTGTTGGCTTTGTTATGGCTTTATGTCTCTTGTTCTGTAAAATTATATATATATATATATATATATATATATATATATACACACACACACATGGATTTCCTTATTTCCAGAGTGTATGAGAAATAAATCTTAATAAGCTGGATTCCATCCTCACTGGTTCATTTATTCTCAGAATCTTAATTTGACACTTGATCATTAGAAAGCACTGCACTAGCCCTGGGGATGACAGGTTCAATTGCCCTCAGGTGCTTGCTATAGTATTTTAACATGAGAGCAGTAGTCTTATGGGGAAAATGATAGGATCTTCTAATAACCAAATGAGAAGTAAAAATAACATAGGTGTAGGAGGAAGTGAGAAGTCCACATGAGTTTCTCAGGTAAGTGTTTTTGTCCCAGCATAGCATTTAGAAATTCTGAAAACATCCACTTCTTCTGTGGATGATAGTTTTAGTTTATGCTAGATAATGGGTCAGATGAGGCTGAAGTAATAGTTACAGGGACTAGCCCCTCCAAATGTGCTTCTCTAATTTTAAATGCAAATCATGTGACAAATTTTAATACTACTTTTGATTGTAAGCAAGACAGATTCTCGCCTATGACAATAATGGGGAACATTTCCCACTCCTTTAGAATGCAGTCGAACAGTGTACAAACTGAATATCTTATGCATGTTATCTCCAAGGAGTGTTTTGAGGATTAGGATCATACTCCTTCAAGATTAGTTACTAAAAATTCAGCAGGTTTGGGGACACATTGCCATGTCCTGTGAGAGGCAATCCTCATTTCATTGAAAGGGAACTTTTTTTCTGGTACTGAGGGTGGAACCCAGGGTCTTCACATTCAGCAACATTCCCAGACCTTTTAAAATTTTTATTTTTGTGGAAAGTGGGAGGGGTAGGGAAAAGGAAAGAAGGGAAAAGAATATGAAAAAAGGAAAAAATGGAAACAAAGTCTTTGTAAATAGGGAAGGGTGGAGGGGGTGAAGGGAGGGCAGGGAATGGGGAAAAAATAAGAACCAAGATACATCATGTAAAGGTACAAGATCCCAATGATGAATGTAACTGTATTGTATACCTAAAATATACCGATAAACTTAATGGAAAAATTTTATTTTTGACACAGGGTCTTCTTAAATGTCAACAATGCCCAGGCAAGTCTGGAACTTACCATCTGCCTCTCAGCAGCCCCGATTGCTGGAATTACTGAACTCTAGGAGAAAACATATAATTATAGTTGACAGGGAACAATTTCATGTGATTTGAGAGTCCATGCCCTATAATACTTTGTTTTCTGAGAAAACCTATATTTACACAGATATGAGTGTAAAGATATGGCATTCAAGTAATCAAAGTAATAACTGCTCTTCATTACAGACATAATACTGTATATCCCAGGCAATTTCCCATGCTTTTTATATGTTGCACACACTCTGGTATTGCCCAAGAAGATAAGACTTATCAAAGCAAATGAATACAAAGTTTCAGAGAGCTTCTGATTGTTTCCTCTTTCACATATCTCACACATGAAAACTGGAACCAGACCTCTTTATTGAGTTCATTTAGAAATTACTGTTTCACTCTTCCCACATGGAATCCAATCTCAATCTTTGGCATATTTTTATTCTTACTACTCCTTAATCCCTCTAAGTATATAAAAAGAAGCATGCTCTTACCAGTGAACTTAAAGCAGGTTTAAAGAAAGAAGATTGAAATGTGATTCAGACACAACTTCAGGTTTATCTGGGCTTCACTTAGTTAGAGTACTGCTTTCTTCTTTCCCAAGGGTTCCTGGGAAGTGACTGTGCCTCCAAAGTGGCATTTTGTCTACTCCCAGTTCTCCCTGCATTACAGCACCCTCCCCTAGGCCTTTTCCACTGAGCCCTCTTGTCCATACTGGATCCCGACCTGCAGACCTGCAATACGTATAACCTGTGAATGCTGCATCCCGCTCTCAGTCTCATTCCTCATACTGGTGCTCCTCTGACAACACATCCTGTCCCTAGTAGAAGTTAAAGTTTACAGTCTATTTTAGATTTCTCCATCCTATTGTTAAGTTTATAACACATCCTAAAAATATTTTTCCAGAAAGCTGGTGAATATAGTCTCATTTGCCATAACATCCTTTGTGAAATCTAGGGCTGGATTTGGAGAGAGTATGTTGAAGTCACAGTGATACCTGCATTGAATTTTTCATAAGATGTTATGTTGGAAATTACCCAGTGATTTCACAGGTCTGTGAATGAAGTTACCTATGCAGTTTAATACAATTAATATCCTGAATATTTTATACATGTTATGGCCAAGGAGGTTCCAGGTAATAAGGCTATTTCTTGAGATTGGTTATCTAAAATCCATGGAGGTGAGCACAATCTGACATGGCCTTGGAGAGGCAGTGCTCATTTCATTCACAGAAAAATTTAAATAGTTTATCTTCATTATAATTCATCATACAATTTGCAAGGTATAAAATTTGGCGGATATGAAATGAATGTCAAAAGGTGAGTTTAATGAATCTGCAGTAATTCATTAAGCCAGTTTTATCAGTGACAAAGAACATAGGGCCAAAGATCACTGAAATAACTGTGTAACAAATATCATGAGAATGTTTTTATACATTTCCTGGAGTCTTTCTATGAGGAGAAATCCTGCTATCCTTTGTTTCCAAAAGATAGAAATAATTGAACATCCTTCCACCATCTCTTATCTCACTACCTGCCCTAAGAGAAAAATTCTGTTTCTTTTTCCTCATTTCTATGTGCATAGCAGGTACCCAGATATGTTCAGTCTATTGGAAGATAATAGAAATTCAGATTTTGACCATTTATCAATAAGAAGGAAAAAAATTCTCATGCTTCTAAGATTTTAGAAATTATTGCATAGATAATTGCAGAGAGGTATTGTTGTGTTTTGGATTTAAAATAATCCCCCAAAGCTGCTTGCTGGGATAGTGGAAAGTGTTTTGACCTGAAAAAAGTAGAGCCAGCTGATCAGGGACTGAAATCTCTGAAACCATGAAGCAAAATAAAACTTTTCCCTTCCAAGTTGATTTTTTTCAGGAATTCAGTTGTAGAAACCAAAACCAGACTAACCCCGGCACTGAATCAAGGAGGTTGAATCTCAGCAAGGTATGGTAGCCACATGTCTGTGATTCCAGGAATCAGGGAGTCTAAGGTAGAAGGATCAAAGTTTGAGCCCAGGGTGATATGACTTAGTGAGAACCTGTATCTAAAAAACTAAAATTAAAAGGGCCTAGAGATAGCTAAGTGGGTTCAATACCCATCACAATCAAATACACACACACATATATAATATATATCAATGTGTATATAATATACAATATATTATATAATATATTATTACATATTTTATATACACATTGATATATATATTAAAAATATAGTACAAACTTTAGAAAACTATTATGGACATATGTTTGGAGTCGAGTATCAAAAAATAGATGCACACAACATGGCAGGATCATTAAAAAGTTTAGAGAAATTCAAAGAAATTTACACTCCTCTGAAACTCAGTCAAGAAATGAAGAGAGAGAATGAATGTACTATAAAAATTCTAAGAGTTTATCTTTTGATCACCTAGTATGTAACTGCAAGGGAGACTGGGAGCACTCCTCTGCATTTCATATTCCTCTCTTTCCTAGTCTTGTGGGAAGACTAAAATATGAAGTGCTCTTGTAGTTAAAAACAACCACATGACTAGCCCTAGCCATTGATACATGGCTCAAAGTTATAGCTCCCATTTCAGGGCCAAGTTTTGGATATCCAGTTCACCATGTTTTTCTTCCATTCAATACAAATATAGGAATCATGGGTTTATAAGGTGGAACTGCAGAAGAAAGCAATCTGTACTCCTTTGTATCAGTTAGTATAGATTGTCTGCCAATCCACATGTAGGATATTTAGCTTTCTCAGTCCGCTGGGTAAATCAGTCTATCTTCATCAGAAGTACAAAGTGTAGAACTGAGAATTAAATGTAAATTGTTAAAGCATGTAAATATCTCAACGGAAAAAATGTTTCAGATGCATTAAAATTAAAATAGGGAGAATGTGGGAAATATTCAAATATTTATGTAATTTTGTTTTTAGAGAATTTTACATAGCAGGAATAATACAATAGGTCAAAGTTCACATTTTAGGATTTCCTTATTTTCATTCAGCATAGTGAACTAGAGATTTGCTGAAATTGCCATCTGTACCACTTGTATGTTCTTTCTATTATGATAAGTTATGTTCCATGGATTACAGAATTTTTCTTTTTTCATTTTTCTACTTTTTTTTCTTTGTAGTATTGAAGATCAAACCCACTGATGTTCTACCACTAAGCTGCTACCTAGCCCTTTTATTTTTTGTTTTGACAGAGTCTTCCTAAGTATCCAAGACTGGCCTAGAACTTATTATACACCTACACCAGCCTCTTGACTAGCAAAAATTAC